GAAGTTTTCTAATACGAAATTTTTGAAATGCCGAATTTATACAATAACTTGTCCAATTATTGCATTCAGTGTTAGTGTGGTTGCCTGTATTATCATACATATCCGGCGGTTGTGTTGCTGGACGTGTTTTTCTCAAACTGAAGATATACGAATCAAAAATTTGAAATTTTTTAAGATATGGTAATTTTCGACATTTTTTCAATTGTATAACTGCTTAGTGTTTTCATTGTGTTCTGTCTACTTGCTTGCAATGTTAAGTTTATTCGGTGTGGCAAAAAAAGTGTCAATCACTGCATTAATTTTTTTCTTTGAAATTCGGAAGTAGAAGTTTTCTTGAAACACAAGTCAGGATTTTTTTCTCCGTTTTCTTGCGTTCATTAAATTTTTTACAACTGCCTGTTGCTGTTTTGACCTGTTTAAAAACGCAAAAGTGAAGCAAAATACAAACTTAACCTACGCAAATGAAATTCGTCCGTCACACATCTCGGGTTTGCCGTAATGGTTACTACTATTTTTGATACCGCGCCGTATTTACCGGCACATACCGTAAAGCGAGCAAACAAAGTGCACCAAGCAACAAACATTTCAAACAGTTCAATTATGCAAATGAATCGTCTGCCAGGAATTGTGAGGTCTATTAACGTGCGAAGTCTTTGAATGCCTGCCATCAGGAGCGGATTAGGAGGGGGGACGCCCCCTTCAGGGATTCGAACCCCTCACCAATCGAAGGGTCCACCCTTCATTATTATTTTATGACTTCAATTTTTGGCCGCCCAACCCTTAAATTTTTCTTAAGGTTGCTAGTTTTATCTGTCGCAATCTGAAGAAAAATTGTGCCTCAACTCAAAGTTTTGTGTTTCATTATTCAAGATGTTGAACAGTAAGACCGTATTTTTTAGTTTTCAATTTTGATTCTAATTGATGCTTAGTGCACCAATGTACTTACACTTGCGAAAGAAAGTAAGTGTCTTGTAATCTGGAACTAGACTTTTTCCTCATAAATTATTTTTTTAGAAGTTTTTAAGAAATTGAACTTGCTTTAAACAACTTCCAGGCGCCTTCCTAGTTTGTCTAGAGATTTGGGTTCCGAATTACTGTCGGACCTTGTTTTTTTTAGTATGTGTGAAATCGAAAAAATTGTCCGGAAAAAATTGAATTGTCGGACATTTGCTTGTCTGATTATTTTGTCGGCTTAATTTTGAAATCATGGAATTATTTCTGATTTAATCACATCTGTGTAAAATTGAAAGTCGCCCTGTTGTTTTGTTAATATACCATTATACTATTTTGAAGTTTTTATTTTTCGATCAAAATTGTTTCGGGTTAGTCAGCTTTTTGTGCCGTTGCAAGGAGCGCACGTAGATATTTTTTCAAGAGGAACAGTTCACGACTGTGGTGTAAAAGTTTCACGTTTAGAACATAATGGTTTATTTTTTTTTGTGTGTGGAGACATTTTTTATGACAATAATTCGTCTACCAAAGTGCTATCGGCTTAGTGGCTGCGCGGTAAAGAAAAAGGGTATTTAGGTGGTTGTGTTTCATTTAAAGTTTGTGATTTCCGTCTCCTTTTCTATTAGGTAGCGTGCAAGCAATGCTACGCTTGCGTTGTTTCGCAAGTGATGCGGAGCAGGAGCTCCGTTTCGTCTCATGTTGTCTAGTTTCGTATGTTTCTATTCGGTCAGCACCTTTAATTAACCAGAAATCAGTTAGAAGTATTGACATTTTACGAAATATTTTCAATGTCAATTTAGCACTCTTTTATGCTTTTAATACCCTCGGATTAGCAACAGTTTATCAACCGGGATTAGCAACCAGGTACGAGACCTTTTTACTTTTATTAATTTAGTCTCCTCGGTTCCCCAGTAGACTTGTCCACCAATAGACGATTTTATGCCTCCTTTGCATTTTAATTACCCATTTCAATTGAAATCTGTTTCTTAGGTTTGTATGATTTCATATTTTTCGGTTTCACCTTGAAGGTTGATTAGACTATAATGAAAATTTGAGTTGTCTGCTTGTAGCTGTTCGACGTTGAATGCATAGCGTTACTCAGTTTTATCCCTTTTTTCGTAATAGAATAAACAATGGTATGCCTGAAGAAAGATTCTATCTCTTGCTCGAGGGCTCGGAACGATGATAGTGTGTTTTGTCGATCAATCAAGTTAGACAACAATGCTCCCTTTCTTTCAGTTCTCAGGTGTGATTCTACGTTATTTTCAGCTCTTCAATACGTTTTTCTTATTTTTTCATGTTTCTTTTTGGTCAGCTTTTTTTTTCATTACACGAAAAATCTGAATGGCTAAAATTTAATGATAAATTGTCCTTGTCAGCTTTTGCTTCTTGCATTTAGTACACTTGCAACTAGCAACAGTATTTCCTTTTCCCCGCTATAAATTTGATCTCCTCGGTCTCTTAGCAGTCCCAAACTTTGGTGTCCTCGGACTTTTCCAGTCACAAACGTATTTGCATTCTGATTAACCATTGTGTTCGATATTTGGTCGTAGGTTTGCCGACCCCAATCTTGTTTAGTTTCACTTTGTTTGTCTATGGTTCATAAATTCAATGATCATTACACAATCAAAGCTTGTTTGATAGTATGAACTCTCTTTTTTACAACCTAAGTTGCAAATATTAGTGTTCATTTTGAAAGTGTTAAATAACCAGCTATTAAGTACCGACAATGCTAAGGATATTAACACAGACTGTTATATTACAAATTGCACTTTAGCTTTAAGGTATCATGGATCTGTAGCGCAGAGGTAGGAAAGGAGGCCCGCAACAAAATAAGAGGGTTCGAACCTGGGCAGACTCGGATGTTCTTAATGAACTTTGTCGTATACTAGTTAAAATGCGTCCGCTCTATAAATTGAGGCATATTAGTTGGTAAATTTATCTCTCTTTTTTTTAAATTAGCTGGTACCGCTAATGCGTCATAAGTGGCTTGCATCACTCAGCAGTTATGTAGACTCATAATTGGCGTGCGTCACTTTAGAAATTTTGTAGACCCAAAGTTTTACTCATTCAGTTTTTCCCAGTAGCGTTATCGGTCATATTTTTGCTTGTGTTTACGAAGTGCAACTTCGCCTCTGTGTTAAACACTGCAATTGTTTTTTGCGGTATTTTTTTATATATATCGGTTTCTTCAAACATCGAGACAAATCTTGGAAGTAGTATCATATCTAGTTTTTTTGAAACTGTTTGCTAACAATTTCTTCGATTTTGTGGTTTACGTCTCATTTTAGTCGACTAGCTTGCCATGCTATGCCTGTGATGTATCGAAAGATCTGCAAGTCTCTGCTTTCCTGCTGGTGACTTTTGTGAATCAAAAAAGGGCAAATACTTTTCTTGAAAAATTGCTTTTATGTTCACTTTTGTGAGAGCAATATCTTGTAATCGGGAACTAGACTTTTTCCCGTTAGCAAATATTTGCTTTTTTTTGAATCTTAACAACATGCAGGTCCCTTCGCATTTGGCCTAGAGGTAGAGTCGTCGCCTTTGCTCCCTAAGGTTTGAGGTTCGGGTCCCGGGCGGACATTTTTATTTTGATCAAAAATGCTGGCAATTTTTTCCGGTTAAAAAATGAATTGTTGGACTTCGGGTTGTCTGATCAAGTTTTGTCGGCTTAGTTACCACATTCTTGTGCTGTGAGCAATTTTTATTGTAGTTGCAAGAGTAGTTGTTCATTGTAGTTTTAAGGGGGACTTGATGCTTAATTTTTTTAAATCTTTTTTTTTTTGCCGGATCAACTTGTCTGCTCAAAGAGCGTCTGCTTTGTTTCCTCTTCTCATGTTTTCTTCCGTTGCTAATTTAACATTCAAATGTCTGGCATGTTTAACTAAAATGAACTTCTATCGAGACATAGGAAAAAAATTTTGGTAGATCTAATTTTTTTCATCATTTTGAATTTTTTTTTCATATGTTGTTGTGTTTGTGTTGTATCGCAAGTGGTCCGCAGCTCCGCTTTATATCTGTTGATTGTTTTTCCTCACTGTTATTCAATTTGCGTACGTTTTCTAAAAATATATCATTTTCGTGCCCAATTGACGATTTTGCTGCATCATATCAAACAACGATTATGTTTACGTTGTTCGAAACTGTGGGAATCGCAATGTGAACAGGTTAACCAAAAATAATCGGCTTTTCATGAAAAAGTAAAATTTTCATGAAAGGAACGATAAAAGTTACACTCGATTTTTTGCTGAGCTTAGTTTTTTGACGAGAAGCTTGTATGTTTTTTTGTCGATGCTTTTGGGTTATGCGTCTTGCTGCAAGGTCAAAGTAAATGAGTGATTACTTAGTCTCAGGGATTTCTAATTGATGTCTGAACTATCTTTTCGATCAGCTCCTCTGGAGTTTGTTAAACAAAATACTAGTTCTTGATGTTTCCAACGCATACCTCTTACTCGCATGCTCAAAAATTATTGTTAATATTCAAAATCCCTCTAACAATATGACGTTTTCTAATGTAAAAAGTGTTTGCTACAATTTTTTTTTTACTTCTGGAGAAAAGTTAAGCAAAATGACGACATTAAGTTCTTTTTATTACTTGATGGGTACCAAGACAACATGCTAGCTTATCTAGAGGTGATGAATGTGTCCTTTAACTTGTCAGGATATTAGTTACCACCTTATTAGTTGACTGTCGTAGTGTGATTGAAAGCAATCTGAATCAATTAGAAGTTGAATGAATCGGCATCGTTATCAAACTGTTCACGCTTTGCTAGTTTTTAAATGGGGATATTGAACCATCATATGAAAGAGACAGGTACTAAAACTTGTTCACTTCAAAGTATTAATAAAACGGAGTTCGTGAAGAAATTTCTCAAGGTTACGAGAGATCAAGTGAAGTTTTCTTATCACTCTTTATCTGAATCTTCAACCAACTAATTTGACACTTGAGTTTTAATTTGTAATATAGAGAGTTGCAAAAAGTTCGGACAGACAGAATTAATTAAAAAGAGCAACTGTCTAGAGATCAACGAAAATTAAAACTGAAATAAACATAACGTCGAAAGTTCAGAAAGCAGAACTACGGGATCTACTTATTAATCCCCATTTCAAGAAATGGGAGTAGATCGTTACTAAGGTTACTTGCAGCAAACTGTCGACCAATAAGAATGCAGCGAAATCCGAATTTACATACAATGCTCTTGTGCGAAATTACTGTTTTCAATTACAGGGGTGGAGATTCTTTGGTAGATACAATAGGGGGATTGTTAAGTAGATCCGAGTTTCGCTCAAAACCTATAACCACGGCGGGCAATTGCATCCGAAGCGTCGAAATGTTTTATAGTAAAATCTGGATGCTCATAGCAGTATTTAAAAATTAGGCTAGCATAATCATCGGATAATCGACGATCTCGCATTTTGAATTTGGCCTGACAAAAAATTCAAGGTTGTTGGGCTTCAGATTTTGCATGCAAAAAAGCGTCGAAAAGCACTGATTGCTCATTTTAATTAATTCTGTCTGTCCGAACTTTTTGCTACTAATTATATTATACTTCAAAACCAATATAATTGCTGACTAGCCGACAATGGGCAGCGGAGAAGAGCTTTTCCCTGACCAAAACAATAACGGGTTTTCACTGACGCAAAAGTTGACGACCGGGAAATCCTGCTCGAGTGTATTTACAAATTTAGTCCTCGAAATTCAATCGCAACTGCAAACCAACACTGATTCACTCAAGGTGAAAGTTTTTAGGAGATTCAGTTGCCCTAGTTAAAGCGTTTATTTCAATTTCTAAATAGTTATAATAGTTAACAATAATGAAAGTTTAAGAGTAGTCCTCTAGCGAACGAGGAAGGGGGGACGCGGTATCAACTACGATGTTTAACGTGAATGAAATTCTGTTTTAGGAACGACACAAACAATACAAAAGGAAAATTCTCGAACTAGAGGAAATTCAGAACACTCTTTCTCGTGAAATCGAAGCCGAAACTCAACTCCTCAGCGACATCAGATCAAACGTGAACAGATTATGTGCAGTTGTGGACCTAAAACTACCGGACTCGAAAACGATTCCTCCCGAAGCGGCGACAGAGCAGCTGGCTCATTTGAAACTCCAGATCAAAGACAAAGAGAAGCTATTAGAAGAAGTGCAATTGTGGCTGCCTAAAAAGAACGCGTGGATGTTGAAAGTGCATCTGGGAAGCATTAAGGCTTCCTTTCTGAAAAAAGAGGATAAATTGGCGTATAAAGAGGAATACGAGCGATTCAAATACATCTTCACAATCGTCTCAATAGTCTTTGCTTTCACAAATCTCTTCATCGTTAACTCTAGGTAAGAAAATTATCAAAAAAAGTATTTAATTTAGAGGTGTTCAATATTTTTCAATCAGATGTAAGCGATATTAAAGTGCAGAAAAAATTATACAGAAAAATTGTTTTGGCGGAATGTTTGCGTAGTCGAGGTATAAAAACAACGCGTTTGTCGCTTAATTGAAATGGTCAAGGTTGCCATCGTATTCTTGAATCAAATAAAAACCAGCGTAATGTTGTTTATTTAAACATAGGCTTGCCCAGGTGATTATAGGACTATTAGTAAGGGGTTCATTTAAAAATAATAATTCGACCACGTAAGCATCCGCGAATTTTTTTGCCAGCTCTCCCAAATCACATAGACCAAATACGGACTAAATATCCACCGCAGGCAAAGCAGCAATCCGAGTATGAAAATATCAAAACCGAGTTCATCGGGTAAGGAAATTATAAATACCTTTTCAATCAATCATCTTTCATTTATAGAAACTGTTAAACGTGCCTAATTTTTTGTTATGTAGCAAAAAATAGACCGGTCATAAAGTAGACTCGTCATAAACTTATCAGAATTGAGTTAAGAAAACAAACGTACGTAAGAATGAGAAAATAATTATTGATGACGTACGTTTTTAATGACATGTCCTACTTTTTGACCACACTTCCTATTTTGTTGTACAGAATCACAGACTCTCTTTATCATTTTCTGCTGGTGTGGTACTATTGCACGACGACTCTGCGTGAACACGTTCTGAGGACGAACGGGAGTCGCATCATGCCTTGGTGGCTGGTGCATCAGTACCTCACAATTGTGGTGTCGGGAGTCCTTCTCATGTGGCCAGAGGGATGGAGTTACACTGAGTATAGAAGATACTTTCTCTACTTCTCTCTCTACCTCGGATTCGTACAGCTGTTGCAGTATTACTACCAACGAGGTCATCTCTACAGGTAATTTCCTTCAACTGCAAATGCTGGATGTTTTTTTGTGTTTGCCGAAATTTTTCCAAAATTGAACCCACCATTCAAATCAACAACTGTAAGTTTTGATGTATGAAGTACCGGTATTGTCGCTGATCTACATGTTTAAGCGAAAAACGACATAACTTTTTGGCTGTCAGCATTCAGTATTTTTGTTTCGACCGCTAGAGGTTACTTGTATTCGGTTCATGGCGAATTGTATTGATGGCTTGTATGGCCGTGATTTGGATTGCAAGAGGAAAACTGAAACAACCTTGTGAGTATTAAAACATGTTAGGTTTTGCTTCTCTGGTGTTAGGCGATTATTTAGGCATTACTAAGGGGAACATACTTGTGAGTTAGACTCGAGTTGGTTAACTCATAGAGTAATTTCGGATAGGGTACACCGTCTGCTCGTCACGCTATCTTATTTTCGGCCGGATAGATTCGTGCAACTTCTTAGTCTAATACCGATCCTAATCTTACTCTTATACTATCTAGTCTCAGGTTGTTTAACTAGTCTCTGCTAGGCTCAATAGATCTAGGGTATACTGGTTTATTGCGACTGCTGAAGTGCTCGGGAGAGTCCAACTAATTTCTAAGTTAAATTCAAATCTCTCTGGTGCTGAAATTACAAGTAACTTCAGCACTTACAAATAAGTGGGTTGTTAGTTAGATGGATCATGATTGGTTAATATTAAATACTTTACATTGGTAAAACATTTAATTTATCCAATCATAAAATATAGTTTAGATCAGGTTCCACCCATCCGGGTTTTACAGAGTTTTTTAGAACAGTTCTTCTGTAATTCAAGGATGGATGATGGACGTTGGTATTTGGTGAACATCATAATTTTCTTCCGCTTCTTCTTTGTTAAAGAAGTTTCAGGAAGCTGGAGTTAGGGACATAAGACGTTGTGTTCTTCTTGTGACAACGACTGAGTCTCTGCAACAAAATCAATTCTGATTTCAGAATGGTTGGCTATGTCAGGTTTTTCTGTTCTTCGGGGAGAACTTCTTTTGTGTCTGATCTAGCTTGGGAATGGCGTGGAGATTGTGCGTGGAGGGGATGCCTGGTTACTCGGATCTGTACGTACACTTGGGTCATCGAGGTGGTCATTGGTCTAGTTCAATGAAGTCCTTTTCTGCGAGGTCAAGTCGTACTCTAAATCCTTTGAGTTGTGATTGTGAGCGGCATATTGATTGTAGTTGGTCATTCTCTCTCGAGTGTGGTGGGGTCGTTTTGTCTTTTGATGTTCGTCCTTGGTGTTGTATTCTGATCTATGTATTGCATCATGTGATTTTACATTTTATAAAACTTTTATTAGTTTAATATTTTTTAATAATGATTTTAGTTAGTTGTTTTCACAAAAACTTTTTGTTTTAGTTCGGTTATTTTGAAGAGTTACTCACACTTGAGTAGCTCTTATTAAAAATAGAGGTGTGGTCACAAAGCGTGGATGTAGCACGGTGGGTTAGGCCGGCTATAGAGCATGCTCAGGACGTCCTTCCTGGTGGGTTAGGCCAGGAGTGGGAGTATGATTTCATGCGGTTTTTTGTGTTTTATTATTTCTTTCTTAGACTTTATAATAGTCTTCAAAAGAATAAATTATCCAGTTTTAAACTGGGTTAATCCGGTTTGGGTACCGTTGGTTTCCTTTTCTTAGTCATGCTGTTATTTTATGATTTGTGGTATTTAGTAAGCTGCGTTGGTTAGTTTTGTTTAGTATATGATTCCTTTCCAACCGGGTTAAAGGAAAGTTTGAAACATGTTATTATATGTTAGAGTTGTTGAGTGTGAAAACTTGAAACTGAAATTCATTATTTTAAACAATTCTTCGTGGGCGAGCTGTGCGAGTGTGGATAGAATTTCTGTGCGAATGAATGAAAATATCAAAAGGTTAGTACTGCAATTGCATTTTATTAATTTACTGCATAGAATTTGGAAATTTACTGCTAGTTATGGGGGAATTTTAAGTTACAAATTTTCATCATAATTAAATTTACTGCTTGTGGGGAAAATTTTAGAAATGAATTTACTGCATTGGTATTAAATTTATAAATTTATAAGTGGAAGAGATTAATAGAATTGTTGAAATCTTGTTTGATGAAATTTGCGATTTTTATTTGTCTTTTGTGGTTTTTGTAGGTGATCGTCGGATGAAGGCTAAAAATCTAAAGAAAACATGGATAAAGTATGGTGAGTTTTTTAATATTTTAATTAGTTAGTTATATTCATTTAATTCATACTTACCTGTTAGTCGTCGGGGAAAAATCCGTGGGGGAAGATGTCGTGAATTAGTTCTGAAGTTGTTAGTAGTTTAGCTAAGATGCGGATGATATTTTTAGTCTGAAGCAGTGGCCAAAGCAATTGAAGTGCCTTAATAGTGGTTAGTTCTTCAGTGCCAACTGCAAACTCATAAGGTGTGTTTTGGATTAAGTTATATAATTTGTGATTAAATTTAGTGTTGTGGATGAATTCTAAAATTGGGATTTCTATAGGTTGTACAAACTCGTGCGGGATAAGGAAGGGTCGGGATTCTTCGGCGTTGAAGGTCTTGGTGATGGGACAGAAGATGTACATTTGGGTTATGGGGTCATAATTACGAAGAATACCATGAAGGTTAGTATCTTTAATACAATATGTGAAATTTAGGAAAAATGGTGAAGTGTATTTGGAATTAATGAATTGAAAACGGTGGTGTGGTTGTCTAGAGGGTGTGTGTAGGTCAAAGTGATTTTGGATGAAGCGATAATAACTATATGTGTGGGTTTGTTTAGTGCGCAACATAATATCGTGTGAGCAGTGTAAATCTCTTTCGTGTGGTGCAAGGAAATGAAAGGTTAGTGAAAATATTTGGAAGCGTTCTTTGAAACTTTCGTATGCTTGTGTGTCTGTTAGTGCTTCTGAAATAATGTGATCAAACTTTCGGTCGAAGATGTTTAGAGTGAATGTATATGGTGTCTTGATGAAAAATTTCTCGGTAATTTGTGGATTAGCGAAGCGATCGTCGTCTAAGAATTGATCTTGGTTAGCTCTGATGATGTTATGATCATAGTATTCGAGTGTATATTCGTTAGCTCTAGGTGCAGTGTGTGTTTTTAGTGATTTTTTATATCCAACGTAAGTAAATTGTCTAGCGGTTAGTGGTGTAGTGAGTCGATATAGCATGTCCGTATTTCGCTCTATATCGATGTGAGTGTTAGATAATGGTAAGCAAAGAGGGTTAGTAAAATGATAATATGAGGTCCAAGAGAGAGTGGGCATTAAAACGTATTCATCTACGAAGTTGCGTGTTTCGTTAGTGTCGTGGGGGGTGTTTAAGGTGTATTGTGGGAATGAGGGTAAGGTGATGGCTAAAAATTCTTTTGTGTTAGTATGCTTGGGGTGGTTGATGTATTCACGGGCTGTTCCTGGTTTTGCTGGGAAAGGATGGTTGGGGAACTTTCTTTTAAAAGTGCGGTAAGCTCTATTAGTGTTGAGTGAAGATTCAGTTGATGTGGATGATGGTGCTAATGATTCAGTATAATTTGAAGAGGGTGTAGGGGTAGGGGGGTTGGATGAATTTATTGTGGAGGAGATTTGGTTTATGGTTGGGGTATTAAGGTGGTAGGGTTGTTGTTGAAGGGTAATAAAATTATCTAGCTCTGGGGAGATTCGGGGGGTGTCTGGAGAATGAGATGATTGGTCAGAATGGTATGAGGAGTAGGTTGGGGTAACTTGGGAAGCATAAGAGGGTGTGGGAGTAATTGGGTCAGGGTTATTGGATAATATGGGTTGAAAAGGGGGTTGAGAAAAATTAGAAGAGTTATGAAAATTATTGGATGGGGATGGTTCTGAGTCGGCAAATTCATCGGGGGTTTCAATATTCGGGTTATTGAGTTGTGAGATGGAATATAAAACTGAGATGTGTGAATTAGTATCGGAATTCATGCCTGATGTTACATTACTAGGTGGAAAATCGGGTGGCGGAAAAGCAAAAAGTGGTATTATTGGGATTGGGGAGGTAAGATTGGTTGGGTGGGAATTTGATCGGTGTAGTGATCCAAGTTGGCGGCTCATCGTGGGCTAAAAAAATGATTATTTTGAGACTGAAAAGCGGTGGTATGGGGTTGTTCAATAATTTGTTCATAAGTATTATCATCTTGTGACTGGTGTGTCATTATATGTTGAATGGGACTTTGTGATGTGGTGAGTCGAAAATTTGGATTATGTGTGATGGCTAAATTTCGAAAATTTCGTGGGACTAGGGATAGTGGATGGTTATTTGGTAGGGGTGGTAATTGTGGTGCCGTTGGCGTTATGTCTACATTGTTATGTTCTTCGTCGTATGTATTTTGTCGTGTTGCTATTTTTGTGTTATATTCTTTTATTTGTGCGTCTAAAAGAATTTTGTTTATAGATGTAGAAAAGATTCCAAAAAATCCTGCAAAGAGTATGCGTGCTACACTTGCTTGTCGATTGACTTGTGTGTGTATAGCACATGTGTTGTAGATTCCTTTTAAAAGTGAGAAAAGAAATCCAATAAAGTTAAACATTGCGTATAAAATAGTCAATTTTTCTAAGATGTAGTAGGGCCATCCTAGAAAATCGAGGATCTCATTTTTGAGTGTAACAAAGCTAAAAATGTTAATTGGTGATATATCTTGGGGACGGTATTTTTCACCGTTTAGATATATATAATCTTTAATGTCTTTAAAATATCCGCTATAGTCTTGCGTGTAGATATCGGCAAATCCTGCGGTTTCTGCAAGTTTGCGTAAATTTTGGTCTATTGATTGTCTTTGTATAGTGTCCATTTGTGTTAATAATTCTTGGAATTGTTGTGTTCTAATGTGATGTTGAATATCTGATTTTGAATAGATTCCTATTGATTGTAAGTCTATATTTGGGTTTCGAGCAATAGCGCGAATGCTTTCTGGTGAAAATTTTTTGAGTGATTGCATTAATGTGGGATATGGAGTGAGAAGATAATATTTATTTTCATCAG